TTGTAGCTACTGACGTGTGTAACAACAGGTGTCTTAGCTAGTTGTGTCTGCATGTGTCAAGATGTTTTTTTAAAAAAAAGGATGACTGATATTAAAACAGGGACTTTAGTGCCTTTCAAACAGGGGCTATAAGTGTGTTCTCTGCTGAGCTTGGTAAATGTTTCAGTGTTGCATTCTTTTCTCTAAATGGAAACATTTAAGCAAGAGCTTGTAAAATGTTTGACAATATACCTCTAATAAACAGAGCAAACAGCACAACTGGTGGGAGACTTTTATTTTTTCCTTTTCGGGAGCCCAAATGCATGAAATATCTTTAATATATATATTCTTCTTCAGTCACTTGGAGCAGAAAGAGGAAACCCACAGAGAGCACGATATGACACTGTGACTGGTTTCAAATTTAAACAAAAGAGGAAATTTCTTCTGACTGTTTCAGGAAAACAAGAACACCACACACATGCTTTTGATCACATGTATCAATGGAGGTCGCGAGAAGGATTGAATGGAGGGGTTCAGACTAACTGAACAGCATTGTTGCGTTTTTAACTGGAGGACCCTGCCTTAAAACAACGCATCCCCCTTAAGCTAGTTGAATCTTTATCATTTGTTTTTAGATCTCTTTTCATGTTTTCATTGCCTTGATATAAGTATTTCCTCTTTGATCCATTTCTTGATAACAGAAATATAAAAATCTGTGCCTACTCCTGTCAATATCTCCTACAGCAATCCAGGCTCTCAGATGTAATATCTTTAATTTTCACAGTCCTGCCTCCACAGAAGAGAACAGGATGAGATTTCAGATTGAGCTGATTTCCTATGCATTTAAAACATTCCATTACCAAATACCACTACCGATGTATGCATTACATCTTTAGAAGTAGATATGTGTGCAGGCATGGCAATATGTGTATTAAATAAGTGTGTTGAGGCGTCAAAAAGAAGTCACAGATATCTGGACCTAACCCTACCTTACCAATTTTGCACATGCGTACTGGGTGTGAAGCAGTGCATTGGTGGTAACTGTCCAGAGCATACAGCCGGAACTCTATAAACCCATTTCCCCTGTATATTTCATCTTTCAACACCTGTCAGGAGTGCACAGGTAGGTGTGTGTGTGTGTGTGTGTGTGTGTGTGTGTGTGTGTGTGTGTGTGTGTGTGTGTGTGTGTGTGTGTGTGTGTGTGTGTGTGTGTGTGTGTGTGCGCGCATGAGAGAGAGAGAGAGAGAGAGATGAGATAAATAGGGCCATGAAAATAAGCAGCTGAAGATGTGCACCTCACATGTGTTTTATGATCTCATGTTCACATGTGCACTCTGGGTTACTGCCAGTGCATTTCAGCATGTGCTGTAACACGTCATCACTCATGCAGTGGTTGGACGATAACCTCTGGCCTCTTTTATTTCATGACCCTTACTCACTCTTTCACCTACAACCCCTCCCACTGCCTCATTTATCACTCTGATCCTTCAGCATCCCCTTTGAAAATTACACATTAATCAAGTTCACTTTTTCCTCACCTGACTTTTTTCAGTCAGCTGCCCAAGCTGCCACAGTTATTGCTTGCCAGCCTGACCCCTAAACTTCTCCAAGTACTTGACTCAAACTCGTTGTTAAATCGTACATTTGTTCCTCACAACTAAAGGACTGAAATAAGTCTTCATAAGAACAAGCTGGAAAATGTTGTATAATAACTAAGAACATAAAAAATGTGATTGCTTTAAATGCAGCATACTCAACTGTCCTCATTATGTGTTAATAATTTTGCAGTGAGGCCAAAAGCCAGGTAACATCTTTTCTTTTCCTTTCTATCATAGTTGTTCTGATTACAAATCTGTAAGGGTGAAATTATGATGACTCTTATCTTGTCAGGTGTGTGCAGTTTAAAGCTAAGTAGCAGCAGCAGCCTTGACCCAGTCACACCAGAGGATCACCTTCTCCATAAATCAATGCTTGAGGACTCGAGAGGTGCGGTGGAGGATTACTCCCAGTTACAGGGCACTGAGGGCAGCATTGCCACACTTGTGAGCAGTTGTCTGGATTTTTTTAAATATATTCCAGACAGATCAGAGGTCAGTAGAAGAGGGTAGAAATGACCCATGTTATTTCATAATGTGGGGCACTGGTCTCTCAAGATTATTAAAACCAGACGACAATTTTCTTTTGATGACATCCTCAACGCTCATCGATGAGTCACATATAAAAGTCTGCCTCAGAGAAATACGTTGTAATAATTTAATAGTATAGCTTATATAGTCAAAATATCTTTCTCAAAAGATTGATGTATTTTTTCCTCGTCCCAAAAGGTTGATTCTGTTCATATGGACGTAGAGTTTTCAGTGGGAGAAATGATTCGTCACTCATCCAAGTGACTTGTTCAGTGTCAGCTGACTGCAAATTTCCCCAACCTTATAAACAGTACATTTGCACAATGACTGAAACCTGCCCCCTGAATGAACAAAAGGCTGTACCTGCTGTTTACTTACCTGGGTGATTGAGTATGAATCAAGATACTGACTATAGTTTTTGAAATCACCACAAAAAAATCGTTATTTATATTCAAATCCTTATTAGTTATATAGCTAATCCAGCTATTCATTTCCTTATCCATTCATCCAAGAGTCACAGAGAGTGCTCGAAGCTATCCTAGCTGTCGTAGCATGAGATGTGGGGTACACCCCAGTCAGGTCACCAGGTCATACAGCGAGACAGGCAACCCTTCATGTTCACAAGTCCCCATGCAATTCAACTCAGATTTTGCACAGAAGTATAAAGACATCAGGTTAAAGGTAGCTGTAGATGTAGATAAAAGTGCCACTGATAGTTTTTGATACTTTAAATTATGACCTATCAGGAACATCCATCCATTTTCTTATCTCTGTTTCCAGTTCAGGGTTGCAGGAGGAGGCTGGTGACTATCCCAGCTGACCATGAGATCGAGGCGAGGAGCACCCTGGCGCAGACAGGCTACAAGTCTAACATGGGATACATATCAACCACTCACTTTTTACTTCCCATCCATACTTAGAGAATGTTTAATGTGATCCTCTATTTTGCTGTGGCTACAATGTAGGGACTAGTAAAGCGCTATACAAATACAGGCCATTTACCATTTTTTACGGGAACAAAAACAAAATATTATACATTATATATAAAACATCACCTTTGAAAAATCTACTCCTAGTCAGTGTCATTAGAAATGTAAATGTGAAATGTGTCAGTAATCAGTGCTGCAGCTGAACTTCGGACCACATCAGAGTTCTTCTGTATCATATACCAGCCGTCAAATATAAGCAATGTCATTGAGGCGTGGGGATTGCTTCCTGGTTTACTACAGTGCAGGCTGAGTTCATGATGACTGGCTTATTTCCACTCACACCAACAGA